CTCTGCTCCTTAACCTGGAAAGTCCCAGTAACTTGATTTACAACAGGTTGAGAGTCGCAGTGGAGGATGACTCGCTGAGCACTATACTTGAGGGCCAATTTTAGTCCTGCAATTACGGCCTCATACTCGGCCTCATTGTTAGTCATTTCAGGGCATCGTATAGATTAGTGAATTACTTCTCCCGCTGGGACCTCGAGTACGAGTCCTAGTCCCGATCCAGACTCATTGGATGCACCGTCGGTGTAGATGACCCAGAGGTCGGGTTGTTCAAGTAAAGCATGAAGCACTTCTTGCTCGACTTCGGGCAATGTCTCTGCACTGAAATCGGCAACAAAGTCAGCGAGCACTTGCGACTTTATTGCAGTTCGCGGCTGATACGTTATATCGTGCTCACTCAATTCTATGGCCCATTTGGCCAACCTACCTGATAATTCGGGTTTGTGTAGGATACTCTTGAGAGGAAAGGTTGTCACCACCTTTATGTGGTGGCACTGAAAATATGGTCAAAGCTTTCGTGAAGCTACAACTAATGCTAGAGCCAGTTTTTCAAGGTGGGGGTATCTTGTTTCGGCATCAATTAAGGTTTTGCTGATATAGTAAATTGGAGATTGCGTACCTTGGTTTTCTCAGACTAGAACTGCACTTACCGCAACTTCAGATACAGCTAGGTAGACTAGAAGGCACTCACCTGGGTCTGCCTTAGCGAATAGGGGTGGTGAAGACAAGTATACTTTTAGTTTCCTGAGGGTGTCGACACATTCTGAATTCCACTGAAGTCCATTGTCTTTTCTTAATACATTAAAGAATTTATGGCATATGTCCGATGACCATAAGATGAACCTTGACAAGGCGGCTATCCGTCCCGTCAATTTTTGTACCTATTTTTTGCTGGTCAATGTTTCGGGTATTCCTTCGATGGCCTTAATCTATTCTGAGTTGACCTCAATGCCTCTTTGTGATACCAGGAAACTGAGAAACTTACCCAACCTTACTCCGAAGGCGCATTTTTCGGGGTTCAGTTTCATGCCATACTGTCTTAATATGTCGAAGGCTTCCTTCAGATGACCGATATGATCTTCTTTCCTTTTCGACTTAACCATCATATCGTCAATGTAGACTTCCATTGTTTTATCGAGTTGGTTTTTGAACATTTGGTGACCAATCTCTGATACATCGCCCCTGCATTCTTTAATCCGAATGGCATAACCTAATAGCAATACGTTCCTTGGTAAGTGATGAAAGTGGTCTTCTCCTGGTCTTCTTCATCCATGAGGATCTGGTTGTAACCTGAGGAGGCATCCAAGAAGTTTAGCAATTTGTGACCTTCTATTGCGTCAATGAGTTGGTCGATGTGTGGCAGTGGAAAGGAATCTTTTGGGCATGCCTTGTTTAGGTCCGTGAAATCTACACACATCCTCCACTTTCCATTTTTCTTTTTCACCATGACCACATTGCGACCCACTACGGGTATTTTGACTCTCGGACGGAGCCATTTGGGAGCATCTTATATCGTTGATCCCGACATTTAACTTCCTTCTTATTTGTCGTACTGGCAGGTATAGGGGGTCGACATTTAACTTGTGTGTGGAGATATCCTTTGGGATGCCTGGCATATCTGCATGGGAGAAGGCAAAAAGATCGGCATTGTCCGTCAAGAACTTGTGAAACTTACCTGGTTCCGAGATGTTGTGCCCGATATAAGACTTTTTTGTGCTGTCGTTGCCGTCTAGTAGGACGGGATCAAAACTTTCTACTGTTGACCCGGATGCTTCCACAATGTCGGGGTCCTTGATAACGTATGTCCCTTCATCGAGTTTGGATCCCGACATCGCTGATTGTTATGCTTCTGCATTTTCCCCTTTAAGTTGTTGTGTGTGGGCGCAATCTTGGGCGATGCGATAGCATTCCTGTGCGGTGCATTGCTCGCCTCGAATGCTGAATATTCCCCATAGAGTAGTAAACTTGATCACTTGATAGAGACTAGAAGGGACTGCTTGCATAACGTGTATCCATGGGTACCCTATGATGGCGTTGTAGGATATTTCTTGGTCCATGATATGAAACATCGTTTCCAGGGTGACTCCTACGGCTAGGACGGGTAGCACTACCTCTCTAGAAGTCCGTTCAACTACATTATTAAAATCGGTTAGCGTTCAGTATTATCTTGTCTTCGAGTCTCATCTGTATGAGGACCGAGGACGGATAATACACGTGCCGCTCCAGTCATCTACCATTATTCTTTTTACATCGGTATCTGCAATATGTAAAGTGATAACAAGAGCATCATAGTGAGGGAAAAACAAACCATCGGCATCTGACTTATCGAAGATGATACTGTCTTCGAGGTCATCATACTGTTCGTGGGTGATTGATCGTTTGCGTTTATGTGTGGTGGTGAACTTGACATGATTGATTGCTGCGACATCGCCATCGCTGATGATCATTTGTATAGTGCGAGCGGGAGAAGGTGGTTTTGGAGGTCCCTGGGGCTATTCGCGTCCGCGGGCAAAGTTAGCTCGTCCTCGATCACTCAGCAACTATTTCAAGTATCCCTTGCCTAGCATTCGCACTACCTCCTGTCGCAGTCCTATGCAATCTTCGGTTTTGTGGCCCTTTCTTGGTGAAATTCACAAAAGGCGCTCGACTTCCGGGTGCTAGGGTCTGACCTTATTTTTTGCGGCCATTGCACCTTTTGACCGAGTTTCTCCAGTGCGTACACTATCTCTGAAGGAGAAACACAAAATATGTGAGCAGATAGGAGTGGAGGCATACCTTTATCGTGTCGATATGGTGCTGTATGTCGAGGGGGAGCATCTGTGTGCCATAGTGGAGGCGGGGCAGATGTCCTGACATAAGGCTGATGCCTTTCTCGGCCGAGGTGAGGCCCTAACTGATCCCTTCGACTGTCGTTGCGACGATCTTTCCTTGCTTCAGTTTGAAGTGACGTCAATCGTTGGGTCGGACCGTTGAGGTTGTCCTCGTCGGCTCGTACCTCGGCGTAGTAAGCGTTATGGATTTCTTCCCAAGTAGTTGGAGGGTATTTCATGAGCCTGCTTAACAATTTTCTGGTTGCTCTCGACCCGTTCCCGTTTAGTCCGTTCTATAAGGCTTCTACTGTCATTCCTTCTAACACATTTGGCAAGCTCATTCTTACCCTATTGAACCGAGCTAAGAAGTCCCTGAGTCCCTCGCCGTGCATCTGCCTTACGGCAAATATATTATTTACCCTAGCTTCTGCCTTTTTGGCTCCTGCATGGGCGGTGACAAATTTGTCTGCCATTTCTTCGAATGTTGTTATCGAGCGTGCCGACAGTTGAGAGTACCATGTCAAGGCTCCCACTATTAGGGTTTCGCCGAACGTTTTCAATAGCACCGATGACACCTGCTCTTTTGAAAGATCGTTACCTTTTATGGCTATGACGTAGTGGATGATATGATCTTTTGGATCGGTAGTACCATCATATATCTTTAGGTAGGGCAGCATTTTGAAGGTCTTTGGGATGGCGTAGAGGGTCGCTTCTTCACTGTTTGGTTGCTCAATGAATCGACCAACGTCGCGTTTTGGCAACAACTTTGGAGCACCTGGTATTTTGTCCACCCTCTCTTGGTGTTCCTTCATTTGGTCACGAAGTGCCTTATTCTCGTTTTTCATCTCCTCCATTTTCTTTAACATGACTACAAGCGTGTCATTACTTGCGTCATTAGTGACATGAGTGTTACCTATACGGGGGCATCTTGCTCATCAGCGTTTATCGTGACATCTGCATGTGTAATATTCCTGTTATCCCTTTGGGCGGGCTTATCAAGTATGGTATTCAGAGTACTTGTTAGCCATTCTTCCAGTAGTCTTTGTACTACTGGTGGTGCCTCTCCTGTTGCAGATATGGAGGCTTCCTTCTCACGCGAAGCAGTTACGCTTTCGTGCGGGGGAGGTGAAGCGTCTCCCCCGGGTGTGATGTCCGGTGTCTCATTTTTGTTATCTTCCCTGCTATCTTCGTTGATGGTGTTCAGGAGGTTGGTTGTGACACCTACTATTGCGTTTTGTCTTGCATCTCCTTTTCCTGCCATTGTTAGTTTGTACAAAGCTATGAAGAGATGATTATCCCTTTCAAGAGTCTAGATGATACTAAAATCTTAGCTAAAGATATCCCCACAGACGACGCCAAATTGTTTGACCAAAAGATATTGAAACCTTTTTGATTAAATCAATTAAAGAAGTTGAAGGAGTAAATCTCAGCCAAGTATAATAAGATCTAGCTTGAAAGATGCAAAGAATGAACAAGATAAACGATGTTTCTTATTACCTCAAAACCGAACGATTAAATGTAAATATGACAACTTTGAATACAAAAAGATTTCGCAATGAATGTTCTTAGCCCAAAAGTAAAAATCATATATCGTTCTCAAAATTGTGATCAGTAAAAACCTCCCTTTTACAGAATGTTCTCTCCCCTTTTATTGGAGACAATCCTTGTTTTTATCCTAAAAGAAAAAAAAAGGTACAACACAAGGAATATTCGAAAGACATATTCCTATTGTTTCCTATCATGCTAACACGACCACATACGTCGTGCATTCTCTAGCCACTGTTAGTTGTCGCTCGTCATAACGATCTTAAGAAGCGGCGTCATAGGGACCTCGCTCTATGCTACACTTGGTACCGGTCGTAGTCGTCCAAATTTCGATACAATATTTAATTGATTTTTCTCTTATATTTTGTTTATAGGATGAGGATTGAAATTTTACAATATGATAATTAACACAGTTTAATTATATTTACCTGACCAAGGATAATAAGTACTATTTAAAGAGCTAAGTCATTGAAAGGTCAAAAGATCTAGTAACTCTGGACAACTTTATCTTTAATACCTCTTGATTATCTATTTAATTTAGTTAGATAATTCCTTAATTAGATATTTAATTAGAAATATTCCTTAATTTAATTAGATAATTTCACCCCTTGTCAAAAATATTCCCTTAAAAGAGACAGCTGAAACACAAAAAGTTTGACACTTCTTCATCAACGCCAGGTAACCCTTCTTCAATTCTCCCTCTTTTCTTTCTCTTCTTTCGCTTCTTCCATTTGCATACACCCTTTTTAGCCCTTTTCTGTATACGTAATCCAGTATTAGGTCTATTCGTTGTTTCTCAAATGTAATTAGACTTACATATAATATAATAGCTGTAAAAGGTCATTAGCTATCAAAAACCATGTGGGGTTTAAGCTATTTGCAAAATCTGTGGCCTTTTTCTGTAATAAAACCTGATGATTTGAGAATTTCAGAAGGGTTAGTTAGGAAATTATCAGTACCCGAAAACACAAAGCAGTTTGTTTACGCGATTCGTGAACCCGAATCACAGGCTGTAATATACGTATTGTGTGTTCAGAATTTATCTGAACGATCTGCTGTAGATGCCCAGTGTTTAATTAGAGAAGTAAAGCCTGATGCTGTAGTTGTCCAAGTGGGTAATTCTGTAGATGGTGATCAAAAAGAGGAACTTTTGTTGAGTAATAGTGGTAATTTCGAGGAGGAGGAGGAGGAGGATTCGGTACCGACTTCGTCAATTGAGGTGTTGAAGAGGTGCTTTGTGCATAAAATTAATAAGGAGAAGTATGAGAATGTTGCGGGGCGGGTTGTTTTGAGGGAGATATTTGGAGTTGGGTTTGATGGGCATTTGTCTGCTGCTAAGAAAGCAGCTGAAGAAGTTGGTTCGTCTTTCTTGTTGCTCGAGTCACCTTTTGTTAAACGCAGCCCGTCTAATGAGTGTTCTAGTGTGGGGGATGAGGGGTACGAGAATAGGTTTGGAGTGTTTGGTTTAGAGGCTGGTAATAGTCTGGTTCCTCTAAAAACGGGATTATTGGTGTCAGCAAATTCGCGTGCATTTTGTGTTACAAATGATATTCAGTCTCAGATGGTGAGGTTGTTGTCGTCGCATTTGGTCAATTCAGGTTCCTTGCAAAAGATGGGGTCTGAGGATGTTCCGCTGCAGTTGAATTATCAAGTACCACAGTTTGCACAGACTGTTTATCCATTGCTCTCTGATCTACATGATATTTTTGTTGATATTCCCTCAATCGGAAGAGCTCTAGCTTGTGCTCAGAAGATGTTTAATGATGTTTGCAATGGAAATGCTGTTGATACAAATCTCCTTTCTGAGGTTTATGTCTTCAAGATTGCAGTCGAAGGATTGAGAATAGCTTTGAATAATGCTGGTCGGCTGCCTCTTAGTAAAATCGGATATCATACAACTGAATTTTCTGAGCTTTCTGTTGAGGACAAGTCGCACGCCCTTCTTGCACAGGCCCTCCGAAGCCAGGCCGTGAAGTTCAAATCAATAGTTGCAGTAGTAGATGCCAGTGGCTTAGCTGGACTAAGGAAGCACTGGNTTTACATGTTCGAAATTTTACAAGTTCCAAAGTTATTAGTTCAGATGTTTATGTGTTTGGAAATTTGCGGGTTTAGAAATTATAGAGTTTACGGGTTTGAAAGTTTAGTGGTTCAGAAGTTTATGAAATTTGTGTGTTCGGAAGGTTGTTGATTCGAAAGTTTATGGCTTCATGTGTATTGTATCTAAATTATTTATGACTACTCTTGAGAAGTTATTTTCCTTAATTTGCGTATCAAACACCGGAAAACGAATAAGATTACTACTTGTTTTTCAAGAAAACATTTTCTTGTCAAATATTTTCTACGAAAAATATTTTCCATTATACCAATGGTTATTGGTTCTTCGAGTTTATGCACCACCCCCTCCCGCCCCTCCCCTCCCCGAAAAAAGGTTATTTGGTTTGAAAGTTTATAACTTCATGTTTATTGTATCTAAATTTTTACGAATACTCTTGAGTTATTTTTCTTAATTTGCGTACCAAATACCAAAAAATAAATAAAATTACTAATTATTTTTCAAAAAAATATTTTTTTGGAAAACATCACCTAAAACATTTTCCGTTGTACCAAATACACCATTAATTACATAATTTCACCCCTTGGGAAAAAAAAAATCCCTTAAAATAGACAGCTGAAACACAAAAAGTTTTGACACTTCTTCATCAACGCCAGGTAACCCTTCTTCAATTCTCTCTCTTCTTTGGCTTCTTCCATTTACATACATCCTTTTTAGCCCTTTTTTGTATACGTAATCCAGTATTAAGTCTATTCTTTGTTTTTCAAATGTAACTAGACTTACATATAAAGCTTTAAAAGGTGCAGTAGCTATCAAAGACCATGTGGGGTTTAAGCTATTTGCAAAATCTGTGGCCTTTTTCTGTAATAAAACCTGATGACTTGAGAATTTCTGATGGGTTAGTTAGGAAATTATCAGTACCCGAAAACACAAAGCAGTTTGTTTACGCGATTCGTGAACCCGAATCACAGGCTGTAATATACGTATTGTGTGTTCAGAATTTATCTGAACGATCTGCTGTAGATGCCCAGTGTTTAATTAGAGAAGTTAAGCCTGAGGCTGTAGTTGTCCAAGTGGGTAATTCAGTAGATGGTGATCAAAAAGAGGAACTTTTGTTGAGTAATAGTGGAAATTTTGAGGAGGAGGAGGAGGATTCGGTACCAACTTCGTCGGTTGAGGTGTTGAAGAGGTGTTTTGTGCATAAAATTAATAAGGAGAAGTATGAGAATGTTGCGGGGCGGGTTGTTTTGAGGGAGATATTTGGTGTTGGGTTTGATGGGCATTTGTCTGCTGCTAAGAAAGCAGCTGAAGAAGTTGGTTCGTCTTTCTTGTTGCTCGAGTCACCTTTTGTTAAATGCAGCACGTCTAATGAGTGTTCTAGTGTGGGGGATGAGGGGTACGAGAATAGGTTTGGAGTGTTCGGTTTAGAGGCTGGTAATAGTCTGGTTCCTCTAAGAACGGGGTTATTGGTGTCAGCAAATTCGCGTGCATTTTGTGTTACGAGTGATGTTCAGTCTCAGATGGTAAAGTTGTTGTCGTCGCATTTGGTCAATTCAGGTTCCTTGCAAAAGATGGGGTCTGAGGATGTTCCGCTGCAGTTGAATTATCAAGTACCACAGTTTGCACAGACTGTTTATCCATTGCTCTCTGATCTACATGATATTTTTGTTGATATTCCCTCAATCGGAAGAGCTCTAGCTTGTGCTCAGAAGATGTTTAATGATGTTTGCAATGGAAATGCTGTTGATTCAAATATCCTTTTTGAGGTTTATGTCTTCAAGATTGCCGTCGAAGGATTGAGAATAGCTTTGAATAATGCTGGTCGGCTGCCTCTTAGTAAAATGGGATATCATACAACTGAATTTTCTGAGCTTTCTGTTGAGGACAAGTCGCACGCCCTTCTTGCACAGGCCCTCCGAAGCCAGGCCGAGAAGTTCAAATCAATAGTTGCAGTAGTAGATGCCAGTGGCTTAGCTGGACTAAGGAAGCACTGGAAAATTAATATACCTGAAGAAGTTAAGGACATTGTTGAGCAGCTGGTCACTGACTCTGAGAGCGACGGGGACAACTCGAGCCGAAGTGACAGAAAAGGGTTACTAGCTGTTAAGCCAGTGGTAGCTGTTGGGGCTGGGGCCACAGCAGTTTTAGGAGCTTCTTCGTTTTCTAAAGTTGTTCCTGCATCTACGATAGTGAAGGTTGTTACCTTCAAAGTCCCTGCTTCTCTAAAACTCATCATGACTCAAACTCAAAAGGCCCTTGCTCTTGCATTTGGGAAGTCAAACGTAGTAGCCCCTGGAATGGCAAGTTCTGGTGTCAAATCATCTGTCTTTAAGGCAACTGCTTCAGCAGAGAAAATCCGTGCTGTGGCTCACGGAGTTATAGCCTCTGCAGAGAAAACTAGCCTCTCAGCCATGAGAACGGCATTCTACGAAATTATGAGGAAACGCCGAGTACGACCAGTTGGCTTTCTGCCTTGGGCTACCTTTGGATGCAGTATAGCCACTTGTGCAAGCTTGCTTGTTTATGGAGATGGAATAGAATGTGCTGCTGAATCTCTTCCATCAGCTCCTTCAATTGCCAGTTTGGGTCGTGGAATCCAAAGTTTACATCAAGCTTCTGTGGCAGTGAAACAAACAGAAAACTCCAGAATACAAAAGTCAATGGAGTCTCTTGTGTACAGATTTAAGAAGATAAGTATCTCATAAAGTGTTCAATTAATAAAATGGTTGAAGTTTGGAGGATTTTTCAACATGTTGATTGCAGTACTTGGATTTCTATCAAAAGCTAGTCTAACAACTTTTATAATGCGATCAAATTTAACAAATTCTGTAACATTATTAATGCATTAATCTATGATGAATTCTGAAATCATTAGTTGATTTACTATTAAGTTCCTCTTTTCTTGTTCTGAATTCGAATTGCTGCCTAAGTAGAATATTTTTTACCAAGTAATTCTTTACTGTATCATCTATCAGAAAGCTTTTAAAATCTCTAAGGAATTCTTTAACCAAGTTTTCAAGGTGAGGCCTCTGTTAAAGGGTACTTAGGATCCTAAAGGATTGCACAAGGCTATTGTGTTAAGTTGGGAAATATGCGAGTGAGCTAGACTCCCTGCTGTCGTCGTTCAGTTATGGAGGGTGCTGAATGTGGACTCAGGCAAGAACCAAAGTGAAAGAATGAAATGACAGAGGATAACAATAAAAAAAGAATGAAACAACAGTGGAGGACCAAGCAATGGATTGAAGACCAATGGATTTATAAAAATCAGAAACAGTTCTTAAAGCCTAAAAGTCTGATCGAAAAAGAATCCCTAAATAAGGAGGACATAAATTAGTGGAAGACATTCTACACCTGGCTCTGGTTGCATTAATCCCTCCAGCTAAGAGGAAATTTATCCCTTTAGTTTTTTCCATGATTAATTGGATGGCCATTGGACTGTCAAGCTTGTCCAATCTTTCTTTTTCTGTTTCCGCGAAAGCAAAACTTCTGGAATCTTATAGGTTTTCAATGTTAATAATGAAGCCATACACTTTGAAGTTGGAGAAAATACCAGCTTCTCAGTAAGGCTGTCATGGCATACTACATCCATAGCGTGAACCTTCACAGCCTTCTTCCTTTTGTAAATTCTTTCTGAGGTTCACACTCTTAGTCTCAGATCATGGGCAATCCGATGGACAAAGCATCCCGCATTCACGCAAGATCCGGGGAAAGGCCGCACCCCAATGATGTAGACAGTCTACCCTAATGCAAGCATTAGTGGCTGCTTCCATGGCTTGAACCCGTGACCTATAGGTCGCACGGAGACAACTTTATCGTTGCTCCAAGGCTCCTGTTTAAATCATGGATCATGAGTATATTTTATCTTTAGGTTGACAGAAACACTAGAAACACATAAGCTAGAGAAGTGCTGGAAATGCACCAACGGTCTTCTGTGGACTATCTTGTGGGATCATTTAATCAACTTTACAGCTTGGAGTCTCTCCTTGGATAACTATAGAGTACTTTTGTTCTCTGATACACCAAATGTAATGACCTAAAGCGATCCTGACATCATTGACTGCTGAAGCCCATTCCTGGGGATTGAATAGCATTTTGGAATATTCTAGCTGCGTCATACATAAAGTTTCCCTTTTACTGAAGAAGAGGTTAACAAAATTTTCTCCTCCAGTATTATATTCTCTATAGAATATCTAGCAAAGACATATTCTCATAATCCTGGAATGACTTCATCAAGCTGCTTCCTCATTATTGCTGGAAAACTCAATCTAAGAGCTGGTGACGTGGTTCCTGCTCTTTATCATGGAAACTTATGTGCTGTTTTGATCAAAGATAAATCAATGTTGCATGATTGAAGGCCAAATTGCTTTTAGCTCCTGGAAGTATCTTGATACATTACTTGTCAAAAATTATTGCTGTCTTCATTGTCGTTTTTAATTGTATGGTTGTTCAATAAGTTTGATCACCTCTATTTTTCCTTTATTTAGTTTGCCAACTTGTAGGAGAGGCATTGGCTGCCTAATGCAATTCATGTAACAGCGGCAGTTGGACATTTAACTTGAACTAATAGACCTTCTTAGCGAGGCCTGCTCATGAAGGCTGTATGTTTCTTCAGAAAGTATATCATTTATTACCTATTACTAATAGTTCGCGGCGAGAAATTTCGTAATGAATCATAGCTGAGTTTCAATGCTGAAAAACTACTTATTTGATTTATGAACATCATAATGTTTTCTTCTTTGGGAGAACAATGGTAGTATTTGAGCCAACTCGCGAGGATAGGTACCGGGTAACTTGGCTCACAAAGCTTAGGTAGATGAGAAGGAATCACATAGTTTCTTTTTTCTTTCTTTTCTTGTGCTGATATTCAAATCCTGTTCTCGATGTTCTTCATTCAGTTTCATGGACCGATGAACTATGTCCTTGGGTCATATTATTTTGAAAAGTTTACGATTATCAATTGTGATGATTTAATTGTTCATACTAGTGGTGCTTGCTGCTTGTCCGTTTTAGGACATCTTAAATTTTTTTCAGGTGTCAGCAGCAAACAAGTATTAATATCTTAGGCATCACAAAATGAAAATGATTTGCCCAAAAGTTTATATACTGATTGATTTACCTATGGATTAGGAACATTTTGGTGGCGCTGACGGACTCTGGAACCTTTTCTAAATGCAAATTTTAATGGAGTTGTAATTTGTAGTTTAAAGTGTTAAGAAATTTTGTAAATCTATTGTCGATTTGCATTAGAATCGACGCCACATGATGTATACAGTTCTTTCCGTCATTGTGCATCAGTATTATTGCAATCTTATACACTTAAGATACCTTCTCGTCTTCCACCTACCAAACCTATGAATTGTAACATGTACCTGTATTGCAGATTTTTTAGCTTACCTGGGATTAGTAATCAGTTAATCACTGCATGAATTGAAGGTCTTTGTCTGGTAAACAAGAGAACTATGTGAAGCTAATCCTTGAGAAAGCGCACTCGAACTCGGTAGATTGCTTCTGGAGGGTTCATGTCTAGCACACGTTGTACCGGAGCTCCAGTTGGAAAATATGAGTTTACACCTATTCAGTTCAGCATGGTCGTTGATCATCTGGGATTTCTCGGATGCTGAGAAAGCACAACAAAAGTACTAGAGCTGCCGATCTGTTATTTTGCTCGTTGCGGATGATATGTTAAGTTTGCCTGTCAAGGGATTCCATGTAAGAGTGACATCCCTCCTTGTTCGACCAATAAAGAGAAGTTCTGTTGAACAGAAACCAGCTTGTATATTGGATTTTAAGTGGCCAGTAGTCACCCTTAAGTCTGATTTTGTCAGAACTGTTGTTCCTCCCCCTCTTTGACCTTCACACTATATCTTGTAATCAAGTGGAAGTGGGAGGATGATTGTTAATTTATTTTGAAGTATTATTCATTCTCTTTAATTGTTTTTATAGTAGGAACCTCCCAATTAGAAGGGATGGGAGTGCTGATGTAGTCCATGTATTGCGCCACTCCCTTTAATTTTTCTCATCTCTTTACTTTCAACTAAGAAATATAAGCATCACCTTTCACCTACCTTGTTTTAGGGGTTGTTTGGTAGGATACGTTAGAGAAAATAGTGCATGCATTAGCTTTTGGTATTACTAAATACCTTGTTTGGTACACCATTTCAACTTATGTATTAGTACTACTGCAAGTATTAGACCATCTCCAATCCTAACACCAAATTTCACACCAAAATGGTGTAACACCAAATTTACTCCAACCATTACACCATACACCAAAAAAAATATTTTTTTATATTCTTTTCTCTCTTCTATATTATATATTATCTTTTATTTAAATTTTATTTTTTATTTCCTTCCAACAAATTCTATCTTTTTTTTTTTCATATTCATGACATATAATTCACATTCACCACTTATATAATCATTTATTACAAAATTATTTTAAAGGTAAATCAACTAAAAGTGAAATCATTGATAAAAGATAATTAAATAAATATTACATCATAGTCAAATTTAATTTAAGTACCACATAAATATTTAACTTTCGCCTCTATTCTCCCATAAATGCTCGATTAATGCATTACGAAGTGCGAAACGCGCATCTTTATCCTTAATTTTTTTGTGTCGAGCTAAAAATTGTTCAAATCGGTGATCTTCATCTACTGCCATTTCTACCGTAGGAGCTGGACATTCACGTGCATCTTGAATTGGTGCATTAAGATCACGCTCGTCCTCAATTATCATGTTGTGCAGTATAATACATGTGGTCATTATACCTCGTTCTCTCAGTTTTTTAGTAATTTTGGTGCACCTGAAAATGACATACCGGATTACTAAACTTATGTTTTATGTTTTTTAATGTGATTTCAATTTTAATGTATCCTCCTTTGATGTACTTTTAATTTTAATGTATTTTTATTTTATGTATTGTTAATTTTCTTTTTTAAATTTTAGTTTTCACTTTTCAATTTTAGCAATATTAGATATCTTACATTTGCATTTTTCATTTTTAAATAATGGTTATATTTCTTTTTATGCAATAATAATAATAATACTAAAATTGACTTATAATTTTATATAAATATAATATATACAAAAATTAATATGTCAAAAAATAGGATATAAAATTAAAATTATAAAGATCTTAATATAAAAATTAATTATATACACAATATATGGTAAATTAAAAGTCCAAAAAAATAAAAAGATGAATAAAATAATAATAAATCAAATTTGGTGTTGATGAATAGTGTCACACCAAGTTTGGTGTGACACTATTCACACACTAAAATGGTGCAAAATTTGGTGTTCCATTGGAGCAAAAAAAACACCAAATTTAGATTTGGTGCAAAAAATAGTGCACCATTGGAGATGCCCTTAGTTATACAACATATTTCGTATTATCTTTTCTATAATTAATACATAGCAAACTATGGTATTAGCAATACCAAAGCTATTAATGCATGCATTAGCATGGTTAAAGACAAAATTACCCTTAAAGTCTCTTTAAGGTAAAGAATATGGAAGATATTTTTGTAAACAACTAATTTTCTTAAAAATTATGCAATACATTTTAATTTTTAATACACCACACCAAATAATGGATGAAAAATAATCTCTATATAACTAATGCTTGCATTACTAAGCAATGTATTACTAATCTATACCCTACTAATACACCTTAGTCAACAGTGTTCTTATACACCCTACCAAGCGACCCTAAAGAGTTACAAGTACATAAGTGCATTATTGTTCTCAAACTTTTGTGGAACATCAACCAAGTTACTTAATTTAGCAAACTTGGTTAAATTTAGGACGGCAAAAAGTATCCTTTTCAATAAATAAAACAAAACTTCATTTATGTTATGCAAAAAGAAAACGAAAGTTTGGTTCGTTTGAGTAAATTTCAAAAAGAAGAAAAAGGAAAGAACAAAAAAGAGAACGTCACAACAAAAGATGCACAAAGTACAATACAATCCCACCTAAACCACTACCCACTCTATTAAAATCGATTTTAACAACACAGCGGAACTTCCAAAGCAGCAAATAGCAAATAGAGAGCTGCTGCTTCAGCTCACTAGTGCTTCTGCAAAAGAGCGGCCATTGTTGTGTATTCAAACGGCCGTTATCGTTGTTAGTAAAGACGATGATGTGGCTTGGATCGATTCGACGGCCGTTATCGTCGTTGGTTCTACTGCAGTCGCGCGCACCGAATTATTCCTCATTATCAGCTTCAGCAGCTGCAGTAGAGGCGGAGAGATGTATAAGGGAAGGGCCTAGAAATGACTGGAGCAGAGATGAAATCAAGTCTATTTACGACTCCCCACTCCTCGATCTCATTTTTCATGGCGTCCGTATTCTTTCTCTCTTTTTACCTCTCTCCTGTTTACTGACAACTTGTGTGTACGGATTTTCCATTTTTGAATCATTTGAGTTGCTGGATTTTCCTGCATTTTTTTATTTTTATTTTGAATTGTTTTAAAGTAAATTCCTACTAATGCGGACGAATTGAGTGTTGACCGTACATTTTTAATCATAAATGAGCTATCAAATTAGTTTTTTTTTTAAATCTTTTGTTCTATTTTGTTGTTTCCGCTGAGGTTTAGCCTGATTGGTTTTGCTTTAATTTTCCCTTAAAGTGGTTAACTTTGTGCTAATTTACAGTATGATTTTTAGTTTTTTAAGGTGTGTTTAGTGCATTTGGTATGGAGGAAACTGTGTCCCTTTAGGAAATAATTCTCGGGATCATTTTTCAGTATTTGGTTGGATATAGAAGTTATAAAAACAATGTTTTGATGATACTTTTAGGTACTAGGAAACGTTTTTAACAATGTCTAGGTGTTGATTGATACAATGAGATTGAATCAGTTGAGAAATTTGTAAAGAACAATTTACAAAATAGGTGAGGGAAGTCATTTTCTCAATTGTGGTGGAAGTCATTTTCCTTGAAAAAAGAACATTTTTAAGAAAACATTCTCCGTCATATCAAATACATCAAAGGGCAGCCCGGTGCACTAAGCTCCCGCTACGACGGGGTCCGGGGAAGGGCCGGACCACAAGGATCTATTGTACGCAGCCTTACCCGCATTTTTGCAAGAGGCTGTTTCCACGGCTCGAACCCATGACCTACTGGTCATATGGCAATAACTTTATATGTCATATCAAATACATTGATTTACAAATATCTTGATTCCTACTACATATATTTACTTCAATCAACATTTAGACATTGTTGTCAACCTATAACTTAAAAATACATAAGATAATCCTTATACTCGGGGCTACTTCTTTTACAACTATCCTATGCCAATCTGCGTTTTGTCCAACCAAATATGGAAAATGCTTGAGAAAATTCCAAGGTAAAAAGAATTATTTCCAAGGTAAAAAATGAATTCGTGGAAAACATCTTCATCCATTCCACACCTCGGTGACCTGAACTTTTTATCATTCATTCTAGAACAACGTGAAAAATGCATTTTTCAATTATCATTTCTAGTTACTTTGGAGCTTGCTCGTTAATCGTTTTACTTAAGTTCTTGTGAGATCCTCTGTCTGGCTTTTGATATTTTCTTTTCTTCATTGAAAAAATATTTTTACAGGCTCAAGTACATAGACATTCTCATAACTTTAGAGAAGTACAACAGTGTACTTTGCTGTCTATTAAGACAGGGGGATGCAGTGAAGATTGTTCATATTGTCCTCAATCATCTAGATATGATACAGGACTGAAAGCACAAAAACTTATGAATGAGGATGCCGTTCTTGATGCAGCAAGAAAGGTGCTCTGTTCTGTTTCTCTTGGTGGAATATTTTATCATTAAGCAATAGTAGACATTATTTATTCCTTGGCCTGATATTGGAGGGTGACAATGGCTAGACGATGCAGATACAATGATCCCACTTCTTAGGGAGGAGTTCCTCCTGAAATTGGTGCCCTTTAATACAATACTACTGCATCTGAGGAAGTTATGATTTCTCAAAAATTTAAGGTTACCTAGATTCTGCCTCTTTTACCACTACGGCTAACAAAGTAACGCATAATAGGCCAACCTATAGATGTATAAATATGACAAATATATGCAGTAAAAATTAATTATCTCAATCAATTAGATTTCTTTTGGCAGCGTTATACATAACATACAATGAGGTTCAATCTCCTTTTAAATGTATTTTAGCTACTTTTATGTGTTGACAGGCAAAAGAGGCAGGAAGCACTCGTTTTTGTATGGGTGCTGCATGGAGGGATACCATAGGAAGGAAAACCAATATGAACCAGATCACCAAGTATGTGAAGGAAATAAGGTATGGGCTATGGTTCTCTTTTACCCTCCAATGCCTTCCGATAAACTGTGTCTGATATTACAGGGAAAGCCAAGTGATTGCTATATATGGTGTTATGCACCGCTATAATGAGGTGGGTAAAGTAGACAGCAGTTTGATGAATCTGTAGCATTTCTTTGGTGTCCCCTATTCACTGGACTTAATGTTTATGCATCTCTTTATTCTTCTATTTTCTTTTATCTTCACATTTTCTGAGCCGCCAGAGAGGGGTATCTGACTCTGACTAGCTAGCTGGTCATAATACTCATTGAACGGCAACTCGCTGACAAGAAGCTGAAGGAACTGGTTTAGCTCTATTTCAATAGCCTCTTATTTGGTAAGAGAAGGGAAAATGAAAGAGGCTTGTTTCTGCCTTTTGCTTTTCTGGGTAGGGTAGAGATTACAATTGTTCATCTAATGTATAAGCTACCATTTCACTTGTTAACTAAGTGCTAATATATGTAAAGAAGAAACAGATGTAAGTTTGCAGGGAGTTGTTTGTTTATTCTCCTCGTCAAAGAATGTATTCAGGAGACTGCTCCTGATACATTCAGTCTGTTTGGCTTGCAGTGTCCTTTCTCCTACCAGAGAACTATCTCAAAAACTGATGTACTGCTACACCATTATCTACAAACATTTAGAAGGTTCTCAAGCTTAGTTTCAGGACCGCACATCCTCAACTACATAGGTAGATATGCAAGCAACACCAGCCTCAAGGTCCATAAGATATATAGGGTTAAATCACCTTGTTAGAAGCTATTTATCCAAAGAAAAACGGAAAGCTAGTGGACACTGTTATGTCTGTATATTACAGGGTCATTGTGATATCCTGATAAAAAAGTTTAATGCTCTGCTGTATTGGCACCTATTTCTTCAAGGTCGGTACTGTAGGCATGATGTTTCTTTTCTTAGGATTTAGCGCTCAGAAGTGAAGAGCGTTGGGAGCTCATTTCTCTAGCAGTGCATCACAAATGGGTTTAGTATATTTGGTCCAGACAAGTGAGATTGGTGGAGGGTTGAAAATGGATGTATTATTCAGATTCATTTAGAATCTATGAGAAATATTTAGTAGGAACATTTATTAAGCTCATCTTATGCAGTAGCCTTGCTGCTTCTTCATCTGGTTCTTCTAGTTGCTTGCTTTGGTGCTTGTACAGTGCTAACAGATATGGACATGGGTTAGATGTTGAGGACAGTAATGCATGGCCTTGCTCTCTATTTTGTTATTTCTTTGAAGTAGTGAAGTTGAAAGAGTGAGGAAACTGGAGTTATGATGATTGCTGAAATTGAGTTGGATCATTGCTAAAATTGAGAGGCATTCCTTCCGCGTCATAGAATGAACACAGAAGCAGGAATATATTTACTTCTTTGTTGGTTAAGCCATTTCTTACCCATTCTAAAAGCATTCTTCTGAGTGAGAAGGTTTGACGGGTAATTTTGTGATTCTGCAACTTTTAATCCAAAAGCGTACAGCATTTTCATCTTAGCTCCTTGTTCCAAATCTTGTTTATTGGAGTTAACCAAAAATAGCAGGAAAACCATAAACTGTGAGTCCTGTGTTGTCAAAGGCGCGCTTAAGCCCCGAAGCAAGGTGCAAAACATGTTGAGCCTTCATCTCGCTTAGTGGGTGCTTCAGTGTCATCATCAAGGCTCAAAGGCATACTTTTCCTTGCCAATGAGCGTGATCCTAAAGAGACGACACTAAACAAATGATATTTCACTTTATCCTAATCTTTTTTCACTTTCTTTCTCTATATATTTGTTATTCATGCTTATAATTATTAGTTTTGGACTCAAAATACATATTTGTATTTTTTCTCCATTGCGCCTTTCTTCATCAAAGCCCCCGCTTTATTTGTGCTTTGCGCTTAAAGCCCTATACCTTAGAGCTTTTTTGCACTTTTCACCTTTGATAACACTATTGTCCATTGGTATCATATATAAATGTACACACAAGCATGTTGATATATTTCGCTATGACATGATAACAAGCATGTTGTGCAAAATATATTCAATATGAAGGGACATGGGAATGGAGGTTTGCTGTACCTTGGGAATGCTTGAGAAGCAGCAAGCTTTAGAGCTCAAGAAAGCAGGTCTTACAGCATATAATCACAACCTTGACACCTCAAAAGAGTACTACCCTAATATTATAACCACAAGAACTTACGATGAGCGGCTGGAAACACTGAAGCATGTACGTGAAGCAGGAATTAATGTGTGTTCAGGTATTCGTTTGAAGTATAAAACTTGTCATTCACCTTTGATTTTTGCGGTATGTTTTTATATATTGACACTCTCATTGGAATAACATTATGTAGACACCTCTATCTCTATATTTGATGCATGTATGTGTATGTATATGCAAATACTGTAGTATCACACTATTTGGTTCACACCGCCACATATGAAACTATTTGATCGTAAGTAAAATTTCATCGCCAGTTTAAGGTTTCTTAAGAAGCCTTGACAGCCCGTTGATGGAACTTAAAACTGAACTCTACTTCAAGTACTGGACATGAGTTTTAAATTATCGATGAAAGGTCTTTCAGTTACTTCAAATTGAACTTCTTGCTGCTTTTCCTTGAAATGTTTTTCTCCTTTATGACTTCCTGTTCATAGATATAAGAATCCTTAATATAGATGGTACATATTCTTAATTAATATGTCATTATTGAAAGTCAAGGGAATCATTAAAAATTGTGTCAAATTTGTTTACTTTTCTTTTTTGAAGAGGAATGTTTATACTTTGACACAATCTTTCTGAGTTTGTGTCGTAAATTTCTCCAAAGGTGTGCCAAACCTTGTCACAATCTTAGCTAACCCCTTCTTTTCTGCTATCAGGTGGAATAATAGGGCTTGGTGAGGCTGAAGAGGATAGAATTGGTTTGTTGCATACCCTGGCAACTCTTCCGACTCACCCTGAGAGTGTCCCAATTAATGCACTTATTGCAGTGAAAGGCACACCCCTGGAAGACCAGAAGGTAATCCTCATTTTTTTAGAAATGAAACTTTAAGTATTGTTGCATTACTTTCTGTTAACTTGTGACTCTAAAATGCTTTGTGCCTCGTACACCCCCTTTCAGCGGCCAAAACAGGAATAAAAACATGCTGATTGACTTGGCCTGTAACCATAATATATTACCAACATAATACCTTGAGCCATCCTAGAAGAGCTCTTTGTAGAGCTTTACCGCGTTAAGGAACAATATCTTGTCAAGTTTTAGCCTTGTTTGAGCTCTGATTCTTTACCTTTCAACGTTGGTAGTATCATAAACATTTGTTGTTCTCTCCAAGTAGAACGTCTAATTTCAGGCAAATGTCACCTACCTTAGAACGTGACTGGAAACCTAATCTCTAGTTAATGACAACTTAAAGATTAAAACAATAAACAGAGATAGTCTTCGCAAACTCTTCAAAACCGTGATATTCATAGACCACTAAATAATTGACACGTAGTCTCAGATGAAATTCAATGCCTTTCTGTAAGTAGATTAAGTGAAAGGATACAACGAAGACATCTCTTGGAATGAATGCTATGCAAAATGAATGTCATTCTATCTGAGTTTCTCAAATTATTTGACAATCTCATCTTTCATTTTTCATCTTTCAGCCAGTGGAAATATGGGATATGATTCGGATGATTTCGACAGCGAGAATAACAATGCCAAGCGCAATGGTTAGGCTTTCTGCCGGAAGAGTTCGGTTTTCTATCCCTGAGCAGGCTCTGTGTTTCCTTGCTGGTGCAAATTCCATCTTTACAGGTGACAAGTTATTGACTACACCCAACAATGACTATGATGCTGATCAATATATGTTCAAATTACTTGGACTTGTTCCTAAAGCTCCAAATTTCTCGGAGGACGAAAAAGATTCTGAAGATGAAAAGTTGGAAGCATCTGTCTAGTTCAGAGCTGAGATATCTGGTTGATTTACCAAGGATGTTTTACCTAAATGTATGACTTCTGTAATACAAAACTTGTAATGAAATTTTACCATGAAACTTAGCTTTTGTAATACCATGTTGATGTTATTTGCTAATGGTCATTTCTTACTATGATTAGTCACTCAAAAGGTTATTTTAATCGAGCACAAGTCAAAATCTTATGATTAAGAAATTTACCCAGTAAAGTTATTTCTGTCGCATTTGAAAAAAGAAAGTCAATTTTGATAATTGAGTTGTAGCTTCAATTTTGATAATTGAGTGGTAGCTTAATTGTAGTTATCAGCCCTTCTCTAGTTCTCTTCCCGTTTCCCCTACCTCACCTTCGGCATTCGTAAGGATAAATAACAACAACATACCCAATATATTTTTACAGAGGGGGGTCTAGGGAAGGTAAAGTTTACACATACTTACACGGTGGGTGTTTTCTATAAATCATCGGCTCTCGGGAAGCAAAATTATTTTTTATAGTTAGCTAACCTTTCTCTATGCTATCTTCCATCTCCAACTAATGGAAATCACAACGCCACTACGGCACTACTCTAACACATGAATTAGAGCTCGAATTTATTATTTCTGGCATTCCCCAAAACTTATGGAGTAAATAAAATACAAGCTATGGATGTTGTTCGGTTAGGTTCGGTTTTTAACAACAACAACGACCCAGTATAATCCCACAAGTGGGGTCTGGGGAGGGTAATATGTACGCAGACCTTACCCCTACCCCGGAAGGTAGAGAGGCTGTTTCCAGGAGACCCTCGGCTCTAGGTTCGGTTTTTAACGAAAAGATAAAAACATTAACTCTCTCGCTTGCTAAATATATAAATCAAATCAAATCAAATATAAACGATGTTTCTGTTTTAGTTTCTTCTATTTGTTAAGCACATGAAATGCAAATTCAGTTTACCTGAATTACATATAAAAGTTTCCACATGTAAATAATTGTTTAGCAAGAATCAAACAAAAAGATGAATAAGAAAAATTTATATGTGAGATGATAATTATCCCTTTCATATATGGTTCAAAATTAACTAACCGTCATGATTAAAACAATAAACAAATGTGGATGACTATGAAAATTCAATTTCAAGTGCACACCAGGAATATGTGAAGTGTAGCCGACTTTAATGAGGAAGCCTCTACAAAAACAAGATTGTCGATTCTTATGTTTGGCCTCTAAAATCCCTCAAAAAGCATCATGAATGAATATGTATAACTAGTGTTGGTTTGGTTCAATTAGAATTGCATTGCGACCACAGAACATGAGGCTTTGTGGCAAATTTAGGGGGGGCAAAATGAATAAAAGAAAATAGTTAACCACCCATATTATTCACTAAAAAATGGGTTGGATAATGAATTTTTTAAAAACATGTCAAATATGAATAAGAACCATATTATCCATTTAGAAAATGGATAACCAATGAATAACCAATGGGACTAACTTTTTTATTTGTAAAGCCTCAAAATTGAGGGTTCCTCAAGTTAGGGAGACTAACAATTCTACCAAAAATGATCATATACAAGAAGTAATGAATAATATGGTTATGCATATTATCCGTCGGTTAACTCGTTTTTTATCCGTATTAAATATGGGTCGGGTCGGATAATTTACCCATTTTTTCATTACCCGTTTTGACCCGAACCATATTCGACCCCACCCGTCCGTTTGCCACTCCTACTGGCAATCAATTATTGCCGGTTTGGTCAAGCTTTTTTCAGGCCAAAAATACTATTTTTTTTCCAATATTTATTTTCCGAAGTTAAAGTGTTTGACAAACTTAAAAAGGAAAAAATGCTTTTAAGTAGAAGCAAAAACAGTTTTTGAGAAACTAGAAAAAATAATTTCTTCCAAAAAGCACTTTTTTGAAAAGTATTTTTGAGAAAAATAAACTTAAAAGACTTTTTAAAAGTTTTGGCGAAATACTAATTACTACTCAAAAATAATTTTCAAATTAATTAGTCACATACATATTGCTTCTCAATTCTCACCGAAAATATTTTAAAATAAATATTTTTCAAAATAAGTTAGATTCTAAAAGCTTCACTGTAAAGGCTATTAATGTGCTTGCGCACCCACCATTGACTTTTCAATAGTTAATTGTTTCTCGTGATCAACGAAACATGCACAATTGCACATGTCCATTTTAAGGGAGAAAAGAAATGTGTGGTCCATAAACTTTATTTAATACATTCATTATGGAACTTCTATTTCACTTTAAATAAAAAATATAAAATCATGTCCATGGAGAGAAAAAAGGAAATATACAAAAAAAAGTTAAAAAAGGAAAAGAGCAATTGAATAGATAATAAAAATATATAGAATAAATTTGAACATTTAGACGGAAAAAAAGTCAACTAAGGACCCGTTTGTTCATAAAAAAAAATTCTTTTTTTCGATTTTTCCCCCAAAAATGTTTGTCCATAAAATTTGACGGGCTTTCAATGTCTTTGCCTTATGTTTTGATGATCTAACAAACTTAATGTCAAGAACCAGATAGGGAACCTGACACACTTGGGCTACATTGCAAATCAACGGATTCTAGCTAAATGTGAACTGCTATAGCTTCAGGAGATAGAGAACCAAACAAGGACCTGATACCCTTGTGGTTCTCTCATAGCAGTACGAAGTCAATTGGACACAACTGGAAAGCGACGTGACTGCCTGCATTGTTTCTGCACTGCACTGTTTCCAGCGGTCACTTGTCCTTTGACCAACTAAAGTACTTACATCATTCAAGTGATGTCATCAAGGTGTATTAACAAGAAAATTATATCAAAACATCACTTGAACACTTGACAATTCACCTCAAACATTCAAGCCTTCTAAAAACAGTGAACTCAATTCTCAAGAGCTTGAAGAACAAAGTTAAACGCTACTACGGACCAGTTCCTAAATCTAGTATTTTGTTGTCCTTAGTTGAGTTGTAACTTTGTGATTGTTCTTCTGTAATTCCTAAATTGCTTAGCTATAAGCGTTACTTAGAAACCCTTTTGTAAAACCATAAACTTTCTGAGTTTGTGTTGTGACTAGAGTTAGTCATAAGTTGAAGTCTTTGTAACTAGTGAGTGACAAAGTGACTTGTGGTAAGAGTATCACAAGTTAGTTGAGTTGAAGTCTTTGTAATAGAGTCATTACAAAGTGGCTTGTAATAGAGTGTTTACAAGTTAGTGAAGTTGAAAGCCTACAGGTGTAGATCGTGGTTTTTTGTCCCCTTGTGTGGGATTTTTTCACGTAAAAATCCCGTTTCTCATTTACTTACTGTTTCAGTAGCATTCTCAGTAAAAACACATAGAGGACCAGGTACTCTATTTTTGTGGACTCGTATAAACTATCATTTGGTATCAGAGCAGGCTCCTCCTATCAGGCTAACACCTAGGAAGGATCCATATGGCTGTTCCACCAAATTTTAAAGAAGGTGAATCTACATACAGACCACCCGGGTTCAATGGGCAATACTATGGATGGTGAAAGACAAAAATGCATGATTTTATCATGGCTGAGGATTCTGAGTTATGGGATGTCATATGTGATGGTCCTTACGTCCCAACAAAGGTACTTGAAGAACCTCAATTCTCAATGCCAAAAACCAGAAAAGAATACACCGATGTAGATAGAAAAGCTGTGGAGAAGAATTTTCGTGCCAAGAAGATTTTGGTATGTAGAATAGGACCTGATGAATACAATAGAATCTCTGTTTGTGAGTAGCTAAGGAGATATGGGAAGCTTTGCAAGCTTATGAGGGAACCACTCAAGTAAAACAATCTAAGGTTGATATGCTCACTATAGAGTATGAACTCTTTAGGATGAAGGACGATGAATCTATTCAAGATATGCACACAAGATTTACCTCCATCATAAATGAGTTGCACTCACTTGGTGAAACCATTCCTAGAAACAAGCTAGTGAGGAAATTCTCAGTATCTTGCCTAGCTCTTGGGAAAGCAAGGTTAATGCTATTACTGAAGCAAAGGACCTGCAGGAGCTGACCATAGATGAGCTGATTGGAAATTTGAAGACCTACGAGATGAAGAGGAAGATAGACAATGAAAGAAGAGAACCAAAGAAAGAAAAGAACCTGGTTCTCAAAGCTGATAGCAATGACTCAAGTGAGGAAGACAGTGACATGGCTTACTTAACCAAAATATTTCAGAAGATGGTCAGAAAAAATGGAGGAATGCTGAAAAGGGGCAGCTCTAGAAAACCAAAGAACTATGATCTCTGCCATAAGTGTGGAAGGGCTGGGCACTTCATCAAAGATTGTCCTCTCCTGAAGCAAGAGTTCCCCAAGTACAATCCTGAGAAAGCAACTAAGAGGAACCCGGTTCCTGACAAGGACTTCAAAAGGAAGAGATCTGCTGACAATGTGGTGAAATAGGCTCTTGCAGCATGGGGAGACTCCTCTAGTGAGTCTGAAGATGAAATTGATGCTGGTGACAGCTCCATGATGGCAGTTGAAAGCGAGGAAAATGAATATGATTCAACTTTTACTTTGATGGACCAATTAGATGATGATGGAGATGATGACAACAATGAGGTAAATTTTAGGGATGTTCAGAGAAATCTGAAATCCTACTCTCCTAAGAAACTTATGTCTTTAGTTATTGTTCTGATTGATGCCTATCATAGTCTTGTGGATGATAAGGATGCCTTAACCTTAGAACTAGGGGAAGTTGAACAAATCAGAGATGATCTGGTAGTATGTGTAGTTGATCTAAAAGAAACCATTTGTGAATTGGAGAAAGAAAAATGTGTCTTAACCGAAAAAATTGCCAACATAGAGCATGAAAGAGATGACTTAGTGGTTGTAGTTGTTGATCATAAGGAAACTATTGAGAATTTCATAAAAGAAAATGAGGCCTTAGTGAAAAGAGTGAATGAGATTGAGGAAGAAAGAGATGATCTCTTGGTAGTAGTTGCATACCTGATGGAAACAATAGAGAAACTAGGAACTGAGTCTAAACCCGAAAATACTGGAAAAGGAAAAGAGGTAGCCATTGAGGAACACATTAGGCTTGAAAATGAGTTGAAAGCTGTGAGAACTAGGTTGTGTGTTGAAACTGAGAAAAACAAGCATCTCCAAACTGAACCGGAAAGAGTAAAAAATGATCTTGAAAAG